TGATGCTAGTGTGAAGTAAAATAAACAAATCGAGGAAGACAGCATTCGTTCAAAACCGACAGCAATTTGAACTTCGATATTTTTTATGAATAGTAGGTTAAGTATACATAAAACTTACTGTACTGGCTGTATGTTATACTTGACATTATATGTACATTGTGCACTTTGAACCGAGTGCTACCACGATCGAATCTCACCAACTGTGAATTCTTTTTGTGATTTATAAAAATGTTCTGCCTGGGTTGTAACCAAGTAATTGATATGAAGAACGGCTTTCTGCAATGTAAACAGTGCCGTAACTATTATCATTACGAATGTTTAAACATTGGGCATGAGCAGTATTCAGCGTTAAGTGCTCAGTATCGCGCAACTTGGCAATGCCCGTCGTGCAACAACATTACGCGGCGTACTCGGTCTAATCTGAATACTCCTGTACGACAAGCGCAAGCGCTACTTCGGACGAGTCAATGAATATGTCATTTGATAGTTCGCCGCCGCCTACACATGCCACTGTGCCCTCAACAAAATCTAACATTGTTACCATGGATAACATTAGAGATTTGCTGGATCAAAGATTAAATGCTTCCATGTCTACTTTAATGGACAAGTTCCGGTCAATCCTTATAGAAGAGGTGAAGAAACTCGTCAAAACTGAAATTGATTCTGTAGTACAACAGCTGAAAAATGAGTTTACAATGACCACCGACTATATTTGTGCTGACGTCGCGGATCTTAAATCAGAAATGAAAAATACCCAAGCATGCGTAAAGACATTGGAAGCTGAAAATACACGACTGTTAAAAGAAATAAATTCACTCAATAGTCGATTGTCTTCTGGTGAAAAGTTGACTCGGAGTCTTAACTTGGAAATACAGGCAGTACCTGAGAGGAAAAATGAAAACATCTTAGCTATGTTTAAGAGTCTGTGTAAATCTGTAAACACTGAAATAAAAGATGATCAGATAATCTCGTGCAGGCGAGTAGCTAAATTAGATCCTAAAAAAGATCGTCCACGGAACATATTAGTCACTTTGTCTAACTCACGCCTGCGAGATCAGGTCATTTCTGCGTGTCGTCGATTTAACAAATCTACAAATGAACAATATCTGAACTCTTCACATCTTGGCCTAAGTTCTTCCAGTTGCAAGGTATACGTTTGCGAGCACCTTTCTCCAGAGTGCAAATATCTTCACGCCGCTGCCAGGCTCAAGGCAAAAGAGCTTAAGTTCAAATACGTTTGGGTGAAATATGGACGTGTATACATGCGCAAGGATGACAGGGCTGGTCACATCCTTGTAAAAAATGTCGACTTCCTTAACAACATTAGTAACTTGGGAAAAGAATAAATGTTTATTGTATTGATTCTTAGCATACTCTTTTTGTTTCTGTATTTGGTTTGTACAATTTGGTTTATCTAAGCTAATTTTATGTTAATTTACTATCAAAATGTAAACAGGATTAGGTCTAAGACTAATGAATTTTATCTGAATGTTCTAAATAGCAATTATGACATAATTTGCCTTACTGAAACTAATCTAAATGATAGTGTTTTTGACGCTGAAGTTTTTGACTCGAGATATACAGTATATAGGCGTGACCGGTGCAATACGGAAATAGTTAAAACAGAGGGTGGGGGCGTACTTGTTGCTATAAAAAATAACATACACAATTCACGTAAGACCTCGTGGGAGTCTAATGTTGAGGACCTTTGGCTATCGATTTGTCATCCGTCTGGCAAGTCGAATGATGTGTTGAATTTGTGTGTATGTTACCTACTACCTGATCTCCCTATGGAACAAATTGATGGATTTTATTGTAACTGTCAAAGAATTATATTTGAAAATCACGGTTTCGGTGATTTTATTTTAATAGGTGACTTTAACACTCCATCTCTGTCATGGACAAAATGTCCCAATTCTAATCACTTATTGCCTAGCCAACCACTTGTCCAAAAAGCCACTTCTCTCACTGAGACCCTGGATCTTTGCGATTTACATCAATTTAATAATATCCCTAATAGAAACAATCGCTATTTGGACCTTATTTTATCGACCCTAACCTCTATACATGTCTACGGTGCTGAACCACTTAGTCGATTAGATGTACATCATCCTTCGCTTATAATCAGCTTAAATATGACTAGTTCAACACCTAAATATCTGAAACCGCGTAAACACCGTCGGTTTAACTTTCATAAGTGTGACTATTTAAATCTTAGAGCAGAGCTTGGTGCTACTGACTGGAGTTCAATCTTACGTGCGCCAAACGTAGACACCTCGGTTAATAATTTTTACACAGCACTCAATGGCATAATATCTCGACACACACCCCTTTCGACAGGTAATTCGTGTAATTATCCCGCCTGGTTCTCTCCGGTTCTGAGACGAGTGATGAGGGAGAAGTTAAAATATCATCGATTGTTCAAAAAGTATGGTAATCCTCGAGATTATGATACATTCAGCTTGCTCCGGTCTCGGTGTAAAAAACTTATCGCCGAGGACTACTACGTATTTGTATCGTCTGTGGAGTCTTCTCTTGAACATGACATCAAGAATTTTTGGCGTTTTGTCAATAGTAAAAAAGACACGAACGCTATACCTCAAACAATGACCTTTGGTAATCTGGTGTCTTCTGATCAGCGTGGTATTTGCGAGCTGTTCTCTCGATACTTTGGCTCAGTATTTGATTCGTCTGGAGTGACCGCTGACAGTTTGGAGTGTCGACAGGCTGGCGTAAGTGGTCTTTCTGGCATCCGCATAAGTGAGAACGACATTCTCCGAAAAATTGGTAAACTAGATGCTGGCAAGGGTGCTGGGCCGGACTTGATTCCTCCGTTATTTATTAAAAAATGTGGCAAGGAGTTGTCTCAGCCCTTATCTATTATTTTTAACAATTCTCTTAAATCAGGTTCTTTCCCGAATGTGTGGAAAATAGCTCACATAGTTCCAATACATAAGTCAGGCGACAGGTCTCGCTGTGAAAATTATAGGCCAATTAGTATTCTTTCTTGTATGGCAAAATTATTTGAATCTGTAGTGTTTGACTTCTTGTACCATCACGTCAGTCCGCTCTTATCACCTAAACAGCACGGTTTTGTTAGAAATCGATCTACTTTGTCCAACTTGTTAGTATATAAAAATGACTTGTGCTTGGCTTTTGGAAGGAGATTGCAAGTAGACTCAATCTACACAGATTTTTTGAAAGCATTTGATAAGGTTAACCATAGCTTGTTATGTTCTAAACTATCAAGTTACGGCATTCATGGTAATTTGCTTCGCTGGGTTAGGTCTTATCTAGATAGAAGGAGTCAGCTTGTCGCTATTAAGGGTGTCGTATCGGATCCCATTATCTGTACTTCCGGAGTTCCTCAGGGATCCCATTTAGGGCCACTTTTCTTCATTGCTTTTATCAACGACCTCGTAGATGGACTGCATAGCTCATGTCTATTATACGCAGATGACCTTAAAATATATACTATAATTAACAATTGTAACGATGCCTTAAAGCTTCAATTGGATTTAGAGCAAATTGTGAACTGGTGTAATGGCAATAGCATGTACTTAAACATTCAAAAATGCTTTATAATTTCTTTTAGTAACAAAGTCCAAAAATTTTTATACAACTATAATATTAACGGTCACATCTTAGAACGTAAACATGTTGCTAAAGATTTAGGAATCCTCTTTGACGAGAAGCTTACATTTCATGCACATTTTGACCATATAATTAATAGAAGCACACGTCTGATCGGATTCATCTGCAGAGTTACCATGGACTTTAGTAAGCCGCAAAGCTTATTCTATCTTTATTTTACTTTGATTCGTAGTATATTAGAATATAACTCAATTATTTGGTCGCCATTCTATGCAGTTCACATAAATAATTTGGAACGCATCCAAAAGAAATTTGTTCACATAGTGTGCCGTAAAATGGGTGTTCATAGACAGCTAACATCATACAAGGAAAGACTGGACAAGTTCAATCTGCAATCACTAGAGGTACGCCGTAAACGGAGTGACATTTTGTGCCTGCACAAGATTCTTCATTCATCAGTGGACAGCCCTGACTTGTTATCCTCAATTAATTTTAATATTAAATTTAGAAGTCGCCAACCTCACCTCAGGACTTTCATATTAGATGTTCATATAAATAATACTTCTTACTACAACCCTATTGTAAGAATGTGTCGTCTTTACAACGAGCTACTTCACGAACATAGCAAAGAATTAGATATATTTGATCATAGATTTTTTAAATTCAAATATAAAATAAGTCGAATTATGTCAAAATTGAAATTCTAATTGTAATTTTTATTCTTCTAATTAAATATATAATAGTATTTATAATTAATTATATTAAATTAATTAATAACTCAATATTACAATATTCAATTATTCAATCAATCTAATTCAAATATCAATTAATTTGATTAAGTTATTAAATATTTTATATTATAACACTTCCTGCATAATATAATTGCCTAATAATCATGCAGTGTACACATGTGTAGGAATGCGGTCTTGATCTGTTTTACTTATTTTATAGATATTCTGTAATGTTATTGATTGTATCCTGTTTTGTGTGCCTATTAAAATAAAATAAAATAAATATGAATAAATAAATAAAAAAAAAAAAACTTACTAATATTGCTTAGTACTGGTTATCATTCTGCAAAAAAAATTAAGATGCCAATAAGTGATTTAAATGAAAATAGCTTTTCTTTCTTTTTACAAGATAATGGCATCAAAATTTTTTTCACCACTATTTAACCAGTGACATTCTTATTAATTATTATGGTTGGCAACACTCTATTGAAGTGTCATTTAGTGTAATGTCAATAATCATTATGTCAAAAGGGCGTTCCTGTTTTGTTTTTTGCGAATTCAAGCATTAGTCGATATTTCTTTCTTTTTTATTTAGAGCTTAGCTTATGGCTGTCTCTATTTACATATGCTTGACATCATCTTGACACTGTAATATTTCTAAGATAGATTGTGATTGTCAGATTTCTGTGATAACATAGATTTCAAAATTATTTTTTAGATAAATTTCGGATTAATTAGTGAATTAAATGTATCAACACTTTACTTTTAAGTTACGCTTTGTTTAATAAATAAATAGTCTAAAAACATGGTTACGATGTTGCGTCCCTTACAAAATAAAAGTTTATATTTCGGTTTTGTTTTATTTACTTGTTTTGGATATCTTTCAGCAAATCACTGTAACTTCAATGTTAAACTGAAACAAGTTCTGAAAAATCAAGGATTTCACAGGTAAATAAGACAAACACTATCATTTCTATCATAATCAATAATTCAGTGCAGAAAGTAGGATACTTACTTGAATTAATAAAAGTAATAAAAAGTATATTATTTGAATATGTTTGTATATATTATATTACAATTACAATTAGTATATAAATAATAAACTCCAATATACATAGTATACATATTTATGTCATATCTTTTGTAAAATTGGCTCATCTCTGCATCACCCAAGGCTCAACTGGTAGAAAATGCCTATGGCCTATGGCCTTGAGTCCACCTAAGTACCATCTCATCTCTCCATTGTGCATGAAGTTTTCATAAATAAATATTTGAACTTGACCAGTATACTCCTATTGACTCAATTAAATGAGAAATGTGTCTAACATTCTCTTTTTTTTTTTCATGTGTGAGTGAGAAAGAGACAAAACTCATTTTTTTTTTCAAAAATTTTTTTGTATATATGTTCCAGGAACATATCCTATGGGATTGTATTCAACACAGATGATGACAACTGCTGGCTGTACAAGGATTGTGTGGTCGGACTGGACCAAACACTACCACACGGAGTCTATGCCAATCCTGATGAACTGAGCACTCTGAGACGAATGAAGAAGGTATAATTAACTGAATAACTCTTTGGTTAGGTAGTAATGTATTATTATTTCTTTTTTCCTGTCGAATATGGCAACTAAGCCTCCAATCCAATGTTGTTAACTATTCTGCCTGTGTTGAATGGCTATTATTATTAAAGATCGATCGATCGATAGGAGGGGTCCAAGAATCGAGAATCGATTCTTGGACCCCTCCTATTTAATATTTTTATAAATGATATTGGCGAATGCTTTCAGAACACTAAGTACCTTTTATACGCAGACGATCTCAAAATATATAAAGCCATTGCTAATATTAATGACTGCCTCCTATTTCAACAAGACTTGGACAGGTTTACGGTCTATTGCTGTGATAATAAATTGCAACTGAGTTTACCTAAATGTAATTATTTAAATTTTACCAAAAATAAGCACGTCGTCAGCTACGCTTATAATCTTTGTCACGCGTCACTTCAAAAAGTAATTTCTATTAGGGACCTGGGAATAACACTTGATCATAAGCTTCATCTTGACTTGCATATTGAAAAAATTGTTAATAAAGCGTATCAGCTCTATGGATTCATAATGAGATCGACCCAAGACTTTAAAAGGGTCTCATCATATCTCTGTTTGTATAAGGCCTTGGTTCGCTCTCAGTTGGAGTATGCTGTATCTGTATGGGATCCCTTTTATAACAAATACGTGGATATGATTGAGAATGTTCAACGTAAATTCTTGCGTGGAATGCACTATAGATGTTACGGTTACTATTTACCTTATAACCGGCTAATTAGCAAGTATAAGTTACTAACACTAAGTTCCAGGAGGAAGTATCTAGAATCCATGAATCTCTTTAAAATTGTCACAAGTAAATTCAATTGTATAGATCTGAGCAATATGCTATGTTACCTAGTGCCAAGAACCGTACATAGGCGACGGGTGTGTGCCGGTAAACTTTTTGCAGTGGGTCGATCCCGAACAAACACAGGTCTCCGCTCCCCCGTCCGCCGTATGGTTGTTAATTATAATAATAACTTTGAACATATTGACATCTTTAATTGTTCCATGGGCCAGTTCAAGAGTCTTACTTATAAATCAATAATTAATAATAATAATTTTAAATAAGTAGTTTATCACCAGTGTTATTTATAAGAGAGGTCTAGTAATGGTTTTGTATCTTTAGCTTAAGTTGTATTATTTGCCATGTTTATAATCTTCTGTTAATTTGTGGATAACGTTGTGGGCTGCATTGTTACATCAAGTTTTGTTTATAATGCCTGTGTACACTATTTATAATGTAGTTGTTTGTTGTCTCTACCCAATAAAAAAAAAAAAAAAAAAAAAGATTAAAAAACTCTGTTACTGTGTTTAGTTGTTAATATTATTTTTTTGTAAATGTTGAATATTGATTGTCATCTAATTAATTATAACAATAGTATGGAGGGTACTTAAATATTATTTACATTGATTCTGTCATTGCGATTATTATACTTGTGAGGGTATTAATAAATAAATAGTTTTGATGCTTCAATCTCGAACTGTTGTATTCTTTATTGGCGACGAGTAAAAAATAATTAATTATCAGTTGGAAAATGGCGTGTAATTTATCAAATATTGTGTTTCCCGGAGAGTTTAACCCTAAAATTGATAAATGGTGTGAATATAAGGAAAGACTGTTGTGCTCATTGGATGTGCTTGGTGTGGACAATGACAACCTTGAAAAAGCGCGATCTATATTTCTATCTCAGTGTGGAAAAGACACTTATTCACTGATAGTATCACTTTTAGTGCCAAAACGACCAACTGAGGTCGCATTTAAAGACATTCTTGGTGTGTTAGACCAGTTTTATGAACCAGAATTGAATGAAATACTTCAAGCCGGGAAATTTCACATACGTCAACAAACTGATAGTGAAAGCGTGCAAGACTTTGTGGCGGCCATTGGTTTATTGGGTGCTAAGTGCAATTTTGTTGACCTGAAGAGACAGTTACGAGACCGTTTAGTGTTGGGTGTGCGCGACCAGCGCTTGCGTCGGGAGCTGTTAAAAACAAAAAATTTGTCTTATGAAACAGCAGTACAGCTGTGCCTTAACCATCAGGCGATTGTACAAGATATATACCCGGACACTAAGCTCTGTACGAAGCAAACTCATTTGGATGTTACCGAGGCTATGGATATTGATAAGATTAGTGCTGCGGAGTGTCGACATTGTGCACGACATCACAAAGAAGGCGAACGATGCCCATTTATGAAGGCTAGGTGTTTCTATTGCAAACGCCTGGGGCATATCGCGTCGGCTTGTGAGAGGAAGAGTACGAAGAAGCAGCACCAGGTGGTAGATCTCGCAGAAGAAGCTGAGACAGGAAATATCGAAGATATGCTGGGTGTCTACGTCTGTTCAGAAAGTCACACACCTCCAATAAAGGCAGAATTAACAATTAATGGTGCTGTCGTTACAATGGAGGTTGACTCTGGAGCATCTCGAACAATTATTTCGGCAGCTACGTATCGGCGTTTGTGGATTAAACCCCCACCTCTGCGATCTACGAATGTTAAGTTAGTAACATATTCTCGTGAAGCCTTGCAGGTGCTTGGCGCCACATATGTTCAAGTCAAGTTGGGCAACAAGGAGGCTCAATGCGAGCTATTTGTGGTGTCAGGAGAAGGACCCAGTCTTCTTGGTCGAAGTTGGTTTAAAGCTTTGGACCTGCAAGTAATTGGAATTTGTTGGACACAAGCTGAAGCCAATAGTGATTTGGTGCAGCAGTTTCCTGAATTATTTAAGGATACTTTAGGATACTACAAAGGGCCGGAGGTGTCCCTACATGTACGAGCAGATGCTACACCACGTTTCTTAAAGGCTCGTCCGGTACCGTTCCCTTTAAGAAAACAGGTAGAAGAGCAATTGACTCAGATGATCAATGAGGGAATATTAACACCTGTAAGATATTCCAAATGGGCTACACCACTAAGGATAGTGAAGAAAGACGATGGTTCCCTTCGGATTTGTGGGGATTATCGATCTACAGTAAATATGGCGATTGATGTCGATACCTACCCCTTGCCTGCAGCCACAGAAAGTTTTGTAAAGCTTAGTGGGGGGCGAATCTTCAGTAAATTAGATTTAAAACAAGCCTATATGCAATTGAAGGTCGATCATGATACAGCTATGTTGTTGACATTAAACACGCCTTTAGGGCTCATGAGAATGAACAGACTAGCTTTTGGAGTAAATGCGGCACCGGGCATTTTTCAAAGAGTAATGTCATCAGCATTAGCAGGAATGGATGGCGTTGCATGTTTGCTGGACGATATTGCCGTCTCTGGAAGGACAACAGAAGAACATGACACAAGGTTACGGGCAGTTCTACACAAATTAAATGAAATGGGTCTTAGACTGAAATTAGATAAATGCGTCTTTGCTTCAAACAGTATTAATTTCTTGGGACATGTCATAGATGCCGAGGGACTACATCCATCTCCCAATAAAGTCAAAGAAATTAAAGAAAAACCAGCCCCAACAAATAAGCAGACTTTGCGTGCATTCTTAGGATTGTATAACTTTTATGAAAAGTTTTTACCAGATAAAGCAACCGTGTTGGAGCCTTTGTACCGACTTTTGGAGACTAAAAAGCCATGGTATTGGGGCCAAGTAGAACAAGACGCATTTGATAAGGCAAAAGAGTTATTATCTTCTGATTTGACATTGGTTGGCTACGAAGTAGACCGAGAATTATTACTTATTTGTGATTCATCTGACTATGGACTAGGAGCGGTGATAGCACATGTGATGGATGACGGATGTGAAAAACCTATCATGATGGCTTCGCGAACTTTACAACCTAATGAAAGAAGATATGGACAAATAGATAAGGAGGCCTTGGCGATTATGTTTGGATTAAAAAAGTTTCATGAATTCCTTTCAGGTCGTCCATTTTGTATTGTGACTGATCACAAACCTTTGGTGAGTCTTTTTAACCCTAGAAAACAAATTCCTGATCAAATTTCTCCCAGGATGTTACGTTGGTCTCTGAAACTAGCTGGTTACAGCTACCAGATTAAGTATAGAGCTGGAAAATTGATTGGTAATGCAGATGCACTTAGTAGGTGGACTGAACTCGAGACTTCTGAGGTGCCAGTGAAACCACTCAGAGAGGTACTGTTATTGGAGGAACAACCCGAAGGCTGGAACTTAGATGTGTCTAAGTTAGCCGCGGAAACTGGGAGGGATCAGATTTTAAAGCGGGTCTTGTTTCACATACTCCATGGCTGGCCGAATAAAGTCCGAGACACCACTCTGCACCCATACTGGACGCGCCGTGAGGCTCTTTCACAGAATAAAGGATGTTTATTGTGGTGCAACAGAGTCATCATTCCTGCTAGTTTACAACAGGAAGTTCTTCGATTATTGCATGCACCGCATGCTGGTGTCGTCCAGACAAAGGCTTATGCGAGAGGGTATGTGTGGTGGCCAGGAATGGACACGCAAATTGAGAATGTGGTGGGAAGCTGTGAGGCATGCCAAGCTGTGAGAAATAATCCTCCAAGAGACCCACAAGCGTGGATTGTTACTGAAAAGCCATGGAGTCGAGTACATGTGGATTTTGCAGGCCCTTTTCAGGGTAAAACTTTTTTTGTAATGATTGACAGTTACAGTAAGTGGTTTGAGGCAGAGATCGTTTCTTCTATGTCTAGCGAGGCAGTGATAACAGTGTGTAGGAAGATATTTGCATCACAAGGTATACCGGATATTCTGGTGTCAGATAATGGCAGGGCATTTACTTCAGCAGAATTTAATATATTCTTGAAGAATAATGGCGTAAAACATTTGTACTCGCCGCCATACCACCCTGCGTCGAATGGACAGATTGAACGGGCCATACAAACTTTTAAAAACAAATTAAAGAAAATGTCTCTTAACCACCTACCATGGACGGAAAAGCTTCCGAGAGCCCTGTATGCGCTACGAACAGTGCCTAATAGTTCGACTAATAAAACACCGGCAGAAATGTTGAACGGTCGTAAATATAGAACAGCTGTATCAAGATTGCATCCTGATAATACACCAAGTCCACAGGAACAGCAATTAGAGGATAGATCTCAACAACAGGCTATAAGGAGATTTACAGTCGACCAGCCAGTTATGATTCGTAACTATGGGCCAGGGGAGAAGTGGAATAGAGCCACTGTAGAATTGGTAGAAGGGCCAAGCTCATACATGGTGAGAACGGAGGATGGTGAACTACATAGACGTCACGCGGATCAAATTATTGCTCGTACGTTACCGCAATCAACAAATAGACAAGTACGTGCTGAACACGCAAGGTCTAGTTCCAGTTCACCAGAGCCACCAATAGAGATACCTCCTCCTGAATTATGGCCAGATATCATTGGTATACCAAAGACGAACTGATTTGACTTTAAAGATTGATTTATGTTTTTTAGTAGTTATATATCTGTCATATTTGATTTATTAGTATAAGTTAATATTTGATTTGTTAATTATTAACGACAGTTGTTACTTATCGATTATGAGGGAAAGATATGTTGAATATTGATTGTCATCTAATTAATTATAACAATAGTATGGAGGGTACTTAAATATTATTTACATTGATTCTGTCATTGCGATTATTATACTTGTGAGGGTATTAATAAATAAATAGTTTTGATGCTTCAATCTCGAACTGTTGTATTCTTTAGTAAATAAATGATACAAACGAAAAACAGTTAGTTTTTAGTACTTTATATCTATTTTTATTATTTTATTACCTACTAGCAAAAAAATCAGTTTTACACTTTGGCTATTGCTAAAATAACATGATGGTATATATGACTTAAAAGTAATGTTTACTAAAATAGTAACTGACTTGTATTTCAGTTGAATGCAGTCCCCAAGACCCGTATAAACACGGAGATGCCAGCGGAACACTCATACCCCACCACCACATACATCACGGAGAAGATAAAAGACTGCAAGGTGCATGTCTGGCTGCCGGTGCATGCTCGGTACCATTTAGCCACTCCCGGAGGAGGGTAAGTTGTATAAATTTAATATTTACCAACATTCTGATAACAATATTGAGAAAAGGCTTTGTATTGTATGAATTAAGTAAAAAAAATCAATACTTATGTTGAACTAGAACTATAGCCTCCGGGTGGAGCGTAGTGTGATGTTTCATAGCCTTCCTCCATAAATCTATCCACCAAAACTACTATACTATAAGTAGTTCCAAGATAAAGACTTCCACACAACGAAAAACCTCTTCAGCATTTATAATATTACTTAGTAAAGTAATTAAACAGTTTTCTATGAGTTTGATGTGAATCTGTGTGTTGTAAAAAAACGTTTTATTGCGTTATAAATAATGATGTATATTGTAAAATCCATTCATTAAAAAATATACATTTTACTATCTTATTTTATTGAAAAATCTAAATATGTTACTATTTATTTTAAATTATTTTGACTAAAGACTGATTTTACAATTGGCAAATAAATGTAATTTGAGGAATAAAATTGTTGCTGTCGCTGTGTTATACAAACATTCTGACGCGACAGCTTTTAGCTATTCATTGAAAAATCAGCCCTAAGTCAAGTAAATTTCTTCCCAATCAGAAGAATATAATTCAATTGTTTCGATTCGAGTTGCTTATTGTTATTGTAGCAAATGCGTTTTTTATTCTTTAAATGTTAGAAAAATATTTAGTTTTAATTTTGTCGACAAAATTTTGTTGACAAAATTTTGTCGCGGAATTAATTTTTAGTTGTAACAAAAAATATGTATATCATCTGCTATTATTATTATTTTATTTTTCTCAATGTATGTTTAAATTGTAATTGTTCTTGTATATATTTACTGTCCTGTGCGATTTTCGAATAAATGTTTTTCTTCCTTTCTTTCTACTGCTTTTCCTCAAAAATGTTTTCTTTTAAATCTTGATATTTTTTTCCAGAATGGCCCGCAACACAATAGGCCCCCCAAAGCTGTACCTCCGCTGCCCCGACCAGCGCCTGGACATGTGCAATAAAGCGGCCACTCCTGTTACCTTCCTCTGCAACGGGAGCTCTAAGGAAAAGTGCAGCTGGAAGGAACTGCCTTATACTTTGGTAAGAAAAACTTTATAAACAGACATATCTTCAAAGAAAAAGGCAAAAATGCTATAAATTAAATGTCAATTATTATTAATAAAAATAAATAAGTGTAGGAGAGCCATGCTTAGGCAGAAAGAGATTAGCTCGACCGGTGTGACACGGCCTTACAGAAAGCTGGATGGAAAAGCGGTTGCATTGTATTGTCGCCATGTGAGTGAGGTTACCGGAGTTTCGCCCCTAACCGAATCTTCAAATCCCTAACAACCTACAAAAAGCCGTCACACACTTGTCTGTCACACCTTTCGTCTACTATCAGTTGATCCGTCAGCTTTTTTGCCAAAATATATATAAAAAAAACGATTTAATAAATTCAACTGCTAGTATGGACTTAATAATTTGCCTAAATCCCTCATCCATAACCTCACTCACTCAGCAAAACACAACGCTGTAGTTGTTTCACGAAGCATGGCTCTCCCACCCACTTCACAAGCTTGAAGCTACCATTTGCTATGAGAAAAACCTCATAGTTTTTTAACACCATTATCGTTCAGTTCTTAACACTAACTACAGACCTACCCTTCGTTACAGCTTACAGACACCTTGGTATGGAACATCCCAGTGGGCAACATGGAGCACTACCACGCGATCTCCGTCGGCACCGCCCTGGTCATAGCCATCGGTTCGCTCTACCTGATCAAGGCGATACACGAACACAAACTAGTCACCATGCCCTTCAATCCGTATAGCTCTTTACACAATTAGAAATAAGGTACAATTTTGAAATAGTCTTTTACCCGTGATGTATTTTTAACTAACGTAGCTCAATAGTCATGGTTACATCAATAGTTGTGGCGAATTAAAAAAAATCTTAGCTGTAGTTTTCATAGTGACTAAACATTCCATTTTCCAAAAATGATTTATTCATTTAATGTTGCATTCAGACGTAGCCAAAGAAATATATTATAGTTAAGTTAATAAATAGTTACTATCAAACTTATAATAATGGATGTTTAGCGCCTGACGGAAAAATAAACGCAATGTCCAGAGTGTGACGGCGCGCGTATTACCTATAAGGCTACCAGCAGGCGTTACACTTAATATTGGTCTAAATTATACATAATGACATGTCAGCCTAAACTAATCTTATATTTATATATTTTAAGTATTTCTATCTCGATGATAATAAGTAGAACAAATAGCCTCAGTTCTCGTATAATTAATTTTTTTTAAATGTTTTGAAAAATTTATCGAGTGTTAAATGAAAATAAAAACCGATCTTAATCCAAAATCTGTACCTATATTAAGATTGTTTGTGATAAATTTCGAGTTTTTCAAATTTCCGCAGAATCCACAGACAAATTGCGTATTTAATTTTAATATACTTATCATAGGTAATGCCCTAGTTTCTGCCGACCTAAAAACAAACATGTGAGATTTGTGTGCTCAAAAAAAAGTTACGTATCTTAAAAGAAAGGCGAAGAGGAAGATGGACTTACAATAATTAAAGGCATATACATATATCAGCAATATTCATAAATTTTAAGACGTGAAGTTTTGCAATTATTATTTTAAAAATTAGCAAACTGAAGTTGCAGTTGACAGGTCAAATTTGTCGAAGAACCGATGACCGTTCGGGTAGACGTGTTCTAGAGTGGATTATTAGCATTTATTTATTACATAAACCCATGTTTACTTATCTACTTATGTATATAAATAACATTCATTTTTGTACAAAATTTTTGTTATGGTTTTTAATAAAATGGGGTTAAAAATTATGTATTAATTTCTCTACAAAACGATTCTTTTAGATTTCAAAAGAAGCCGCCGGCGCGTGTATCATGACCATGTACCTACTCCCGAAAAGCGGCAAATTTCTTTGAGAATTAAGCACAAAACCTTTCATGCCGCATTATCAAAGTGCCGATGGTTAAAACATAACTATGCATGCACACACCTAACTACTCAGTGAAATAGCGCTTTGTCCTAACTGCAAGACGCAAGAGTCTTGCAGGCTATGTCTTGTTCTTGCTCAAGTCTTGCACGGTCAGTCTTGGTCTTGGTCTTGCTAAAAATACGCGGTCTTGTTCTTGGTCTTGGTCTTGCAAAAACGCAAGAACGAGACCAAGACTGCAAGACCAAGACTGAATTTGGGCAACACTAATTTTATGTAATATGTATGTATAAAAATATACTTCTATGTCTAGTCAATAAATAAATAAACAATTTACAATAATACTCTTGAATTCTTTAGTGCCTTATTTGCTTAATAGATAATTTATAATAATTAAGTATGACTAGTGTCATTGTAATCCGTAACTTATAATCAAAGACTCAAAGTATATATTGATGATTCAAAATTATTTTAAAACTTATATATGTAATTTAAACCTTTATGAGGTGCAATCAAAGTTTATTTTTTGGATATCGAGCTTCATAACAGCGTCTTAGAGCTTTGTTTCATAGGATTAGCCATTTTATTCTACGAAAATATACCTAATAACAAATACATCATTAAGTTGCGGCTCAAAGAGCCATAAGGACGGAAATTACGGGTGCAAGCGTGCATTGTACCGCGCCCTTCTTTTTTGTCAGGGGAAAAGCCGGAAAAACATGACTTCTCCCGCCCAGGGCGAGACAGTGTCAGACTCTTACTGACTAACCCCCTGCCCGTTTCTTCTCCTACTTTAAGACGAGGCCGCGGTGCCCCATGGCGCCTACCTTGCAACCCCAACTACACATCAGCCTTTTAGAACCCCGTCTATGGTGGTCTATTGGCTCTTTGAGGCGCGCGCGAAGCTACGAACCGCGACCTTGCTTGAAACATCATTGGATGACAAACTAAACCTTTTGACTTAACTGATACCGATGCCTCACAAAAATCTCTCCTCCCTCCCTACCCTTCCCAATCCCTAAATATCCAAAACCTCGGCAAATCCCCATAAGGCCGGCAGAGCACTTGGAGCAGCTCAAGTGTTAAGGGTGTCCATGGGTGACGTTGATTGCTTACCATCAGGTTTGCTGCCAAATCACATAGCAAAGGGGCATTAAAAGCACCGTCACCAGGAAGAAATGTCATTTGCATTCAATTTTCTATTGTATTGTCTCTCTGCTCTTCGGAATTGGAGACGGCTATGATGACATGTAGGCATGTACATATGATGCTTATCTACTAGCTTACAGAAAAAAATATTAACTACTGCAATGTTTAAAGAGTCTGGAAGGGCAGGAGGCAGGATTTAAAAAAAAAAGAAACATAAGAAAACCTGTCCTACCAGACGGCGCCACTAATGCAGCGGGAGATCTTTTTGTTTATCCAATCTCTATGGTAATACCAAATGGGTTCCTACTAGCAAAATCTATGATGGGCACCATGCCTTAATACAGTATTGCGGAAAATTCTGTAATGATAAGAATAGCACTTGCTACTAATGGATCTAGATGTGTATCTATGCGTCGCCCACTTTTCACCAGTTTATGAGTGCCAATATGGTGTTATGTAAAATAGGACCGAGACAAATTTTGAAACTGGACGATAATATTCTCTTATTGAATAACTCTTTTCTAAGTAGCGTTAATAAATACATCTGACTTAGGTATCTCTCTGTCCTATACGATAATACTTACAAACTATTTTATACTCTAAAGTGGAGTACGTGAAGGCTTATTATACATTTAATTGTATTATCATACATTTAATACTTAAAATACATAATTCGTGTACTATGAGCTCCATCTACCCACGTACCAAGTGAAAGCGCGAGTAAGTACAGCGCGGTGTCCCAGCAGTAACGTAGTGTAGCTACGGCGGCCAGCGAGATGGCAGCACTCGCTGCTTGTATCGATCCCGCGCGCGAACACTGAACCTTCCTTAACCGCGAATGTACGTGCCTCATCGTACACATGTTGATGAAACCAATACTCTATACTTACTACCCTTTCATATTCTACACCGATCTACCACGTTATTGTGAAAGTAACTCTGTGATAATTTTCAGTGTTTTCTTACATCGATTCGACAATGTTGCTAGTTGTTATCCTGAAACGTAAGGGCAGACTAGGGTTCGCGTGGTCGTTGTAATGTCGGTGGCAACATCGAGTGAGGATGTGGATGTGGTGCGGTGCACGTGCTAGGGCCGGGGGCGTGCCGCGGCCGGCGTGCGTACTCGGAGCGCCGCAGATATGGATTTAAGATTAACGAGGCCACGTAAACGCGGCGTCGCGGGGGTCGGGGCGCGCGCCGTGTTTACATGCGGGTGCAGGCGGCGGGTGCAGCGGGCGGGCGATCGATCGCTGGGCGGAGCGGGCGCGGGGCGGGCGCGGCGGGCGGCGGGGGGGGGGGCTCGCGCGCGCCGGCCGCCAGTCCGCCTCGGGGCCGCGTCCGCGCGGTCGTCGCCTGATCCCGCGGTGCGGCGCGCCGGAGTGTCTCCGCGGGCGCCCGGCGGCGGCGGCGAGCCTCGCGCCGCCCGCCCCCGCGCTGATGCCGCTGCCGGCCGGAGCCGCAGCGCCCCTCACCCTCCCCGCGCCCCCGCCGCCGGCCGGCGCCGCGCGCGCAGCCTGGCCTGTCGCGACCTAGCCGAGAAAGCCCCGCCGCCCGCGCACCCCGCACCACGCTTGCGCCCCGTGTTCCTGTGGGCACGGCAGCGCGACGGCACCGTGCAAGAGGTCCGCTGTGAAGACTACGATCCGCGTAACCGTATCCGTATCGCGCGTACCCCGACCGGTTGGCGAGTTATCCCGCGTACTAAAATCTTTGACTCTATTCTTGTGACAAGCGCTCCGGCGCACGAACCTTCGGAGCCCAGTGCTCCCCAAGAGCGGCGCCGGCGCCGGCGTCCCGGCAGGCCGCGGCGGAGGCGCACGGACGCGGCAGCGCCCGCGCCCTCCTGGCTGGCCCCCGACCTGGAGTCTCACATCCCGTCGCACACGATCGCGGTGCCGCGCGTGCCGCCCGCGCCGCCCACTCCGCCCGCGCCGCCTGAGCCCACTCCACTCGACAACTTGCTCGCGGTAGCCGAGCTGGAGTTCAATCAGCAGCGCGGCGAGGAGGCGCTGGAGTTGGAACTTCAGGCGGGAGCCGCGCAGTACCCCTTCCTGCCGGAAGCGGAAGAGGTAGCGCGCGACGTCATGTCGTTCGAACTCGGCGAGCCAAAACCACCTGACGACATGTTCTTCGAGCAGCGCAAGCCTCCGGAACGTACTCCTGAAGAAGACGCCTTTCACACTGACATGGGAGTGCATAAAGACCTATTTGAGACTATAAGTGAAGCGCACTACCTGCCCGAGCTCGGTGGGCCTCATGACGAGGCCCTACTCGAGTCACTCGTAGAGAAGGGTTGTGAAGATAATCAGATACTCGGGCAGGCGCTGGATAAGCTGGCGCATCTCGTGCACGGCTCCGGTGACTACGCGGAGGAGGAGGACGACATGTTGCTCGGTGGCGCGCCAGTTGCTGACATCATCGACCGCCTCGAGCAGTCGCTGGAGTCCCCCAGCCGCAGTAGCATGACAGCTGCGCAAGGACTACTACACCTGCATCACATAGGCGACCACCTGCCGCCACCCGATCAGCAACAGGCTATCGAACAGTCTTATATGACAGACGAAGTGTTTGCGCCCGCCGATCCATCAACAGAATGTGCGCTTGAAACATTATCTGCAGCGTCACAAATGCAAAGCGCTAGTGAAGTTAACCATTTAGAATATGATCAAACCGCCGAGAAGAGGCTACAAGATGAAGTCGACAATGTCGAAGCTATGTATACTGAACAAGTACCTGAAATCCCTGCAACCTCAGAAGAGCAAATAATTCAACCGTTACCGGATCAAAGCGAAGAAACTTTACCGTGTGAATTACCAACACCGACACCGACGCCGACTGAAGATGAGCCTGCTGATAACACGACGAATAACATTACTCTCAAGATAGAGACCGAGGAGCCAGTGTGCGATGAAGATGGCAATTTTACAAATGCTATTAAAGAGGAAGATACCAGCTTAGATTTCATGAAAGATCTAGATGATCCGTCAAACGCCGTGGAATTGGTAGCTACTGATTTGAGTGTCAAAAACTTTAAAAATAGTAAAAAGCCAAACCGCGTCGTGGCTAGCGTTGCTGAAACCACAAATACCATGGAAGACAACCTATCAGAGAAGGGTGACGACCAGCCTAAAGATCTGAGTGTGCAAAGAAGGCTGCCTACCCCGCATGCGTCACCGAGAAGGATAGACATACCGCGAGCGCCGTCCAGAGAGTCAGATGCAATGCAGTCGCCGCAACCGAGCGGCATCCCTGCCGTGCCGTCCTCACCTGAGATATTCACGATGCCACAGTCGAAGAGCAAACAATCGCTGTTCTTAGAAACATTGCTGTCGTCGCCCTCACCCAAGATGTACACGTCTGAAGTGACCATTACAAAGCAGCAATGTGAACCATTAAACTTGGGCAAACATCGGAAATCAGCCAGTCCGACGGTAACCAGCTGTTCAGACGAGATTAGAAAGTTAAATAAAGAGTTTGGTGAACCTCAAGAGAAGAAAGGTCGGCGAGAATCTACAGACGATACTGTTAAAATTAGTAAAGTATACAACAAATGCGACAGAACAGATGAACATTCAGCTGAAAGTCAGACGAAAATATCGAAGAAAGCTGACAAAGAGGAAAAGCTCTCTGCGAAATATATTGAGAAGATGAGTAAACTGAGTCCAATTGAACAACTGCATAGTCTAAGATCGAATTCTTCAATTCCCGATGCTTTACTAATTCCCAAGAACAAGTTAAATACAATTCTCGCCGCGCCTGCTATCGAAATTCCTCAGATGCTTATTAATTGTCCAGAGTTAACGATACCGCAGGCTTTCGCATATCCCCAACTTTTACAAGATCCTGACATACTCGTGTTGTCACTGTCACAAATAGAGGCTATATTGATGAACCAAACTAAGCGACCTGAGTCGCCGATAAAAGAGCCAAAGGCACCAACACCAAAAAGCTCGATAAGTACATCGAGTAGTGATAATATGACGAATTCAAGTCAGCCCGAACATGTCAACTCTAATCCTCAACCTAAGCCTATACCATCGATGGACGCGTTAGCAGGCGAAATCGATGCGGCGACCTCGGCCGCGATCAACCAAATGATATGGTTACCTTACTTCAGCCAGCTAGAGGCAATGGCAGCGTGCACACAAAACATGGATTTCCTAAAAGCTCTCAACTCATCTGGATACGGCGCAGGGCAAGGCTATCCGGAGTTATCGCAAGTATTTAACCCGAATTCCCGTTTTGCGGGACCAACAGGTTTCCCTGTGATGCCTCCGATGGACTACGAAAATCGGATGCAATATGCTATGTGGCAGGAGGCGATGAATCATTCAAATCAGCAACAGGCTCAGAGACAAAGCCAAGCCAAAGTAAATGAATGTCAGGTTAAAGAAGTCGTGTCGAAATCCATGGATGTGCAAAATCCATACGTACACTCGACAAAAAGTCATCATCAGAATAAATCGCATAGCAGTATGTCCTCGCGTTCTAGTCCTATGGCCAACTACACCGCCAGTCAGCGCGCCGCCATGCAACATAATTCGTTCCTCCAGAGCATGTACCCTGGAATGAACCCCAACATGCGGCCGAACATGCCTCTGCCAGGCCTCCAGATCCCGTATTTCAACCCTAACTTGATGGGTAGTCAGCGCTCGCCTAGAAGCGGGGCGCAAAAGAGCCCAACGTCACCGTACTTCCCGAACAACAATTACCTGCAATCTATGAAACATTCCGAGGCGCAGCCTCACCAGAGAAGTAGTTCGACTAGCTCGCAAGAGTCTCCGCGGCCGCGGATCAGTGTTAAATCATTACAAAACTTATTGGAGCCGAGTGCTGTGGCGTCGGCATCGTCGTCGTCGCGGCGGGGGCACAACCCGCCGGCGGGCGCGATGAGCCGGCGCCGCGAGGAGCCCGAGGTGGGCAGCACCACGCCGCTCGGGGAGCCGCCGCACCTGCCGCCGCACCCGCACGACCCGGCCTCCTACCACTTGTGGCATCCGCTGTTCGGCAAGTGAGTCACTTTCATTCATGTTTATAGCTTTACAAATATTTGCATGATCATGATTACAAATATTCGTATTTACTTTTGTTATTGGACTTTCTTTGACTTCATAATTGCCATGTTCCGTGTACTCATGTAGGTAGGTTCGTAAACACCGCGGGCGGTCGTTCGAGACGTTGTGAATTCTAAGAAAATAATTACACATTACTTATCTTTACTTAAATATATATTCATAATCATATGTATTATGCAGTTAAGTATAACCATGATAAAACTCCAAACTTTTGTAAATAAAAAAAAGATCAGATTATTGATATCAAAGTGCGAGTTTACATAAAATGTAAGCGTAGTATCAACAGACTAGTTGGTACTATAATAAAGTGGAAGAGACGTCGTCAGTTAATATAGCACAATTTATACTTGAGCAATATTGTATTGTTTATTTATACTGGCCGTTTATTGGGTCAGGCCGGCGGGCAAAGCTAATTTTGCCAGAATCGATCGGCTTCCGAAATAGCGGTGAAGTTGAAGGGTTAATATGTAGGGACTGTGGGTCAGTTCGTCGTCTCGTCAACGTTTAATTAGATCTCTGTTAAAAGTCCCGTCGTTGTTGCTGGACGAGAAGGAAAATCAAATTTCGACTTTGTCCGTTACTTGATTACGCTCAGAATTGCTTAATTAAATCACGAGCAACCTAAATTGGTTAGGAATTAACTGCTTGTATTTGTGTACCTGTACGACCATATCTTAATTAGAACGCAGAACGAAAATGCATGGAAATTGTAAACGAGAGTAGAACAAATGTCCGTTTGCTTCGACGATCGGTCAGCCGCGAGCTATAAACCAGTAGTGGCTTCACGCATATATTTTAATTAAACTAAATGTTCGCCGCGTCCGGCCAATAAAACAATGCAATTGATATACTTAATTAATTTAATGATGCGGACAAATTAACGTTGATACGCTGCCAGAGACAAATGATTGTAAGACGTCGTAAATTGAGAATGTCTTCGATATAATTATATTATTTGTCCGATATGTATAAAATATGGGGTCTACAATACAATTTCTTTTTAATTTGTAGAATAATTAAGCTGAACAAATGATCGTATTATTACAGAAGAAAAAACGAAAAAGAATGATACGTAGCATCGTAACAAAAATCGATTGTTTTTAAAGAAAAAAAACCAAAATTTTTTTTCGATACTCGAATATTTACATAATCACTAATTTTGTCTAGGTGAATAGTTTCTTTCTCTTTTAAAACTATAAACAAAAAAGAAACAGTGCCTTTCTCGACCTTCAAACATTCAAGTAAGGCCATACTTCTTATAAGGCCGGCAATGTTTCTGGTGTTCTATTATCAAACGGTGATTACTTGCCATCAGAATATCCGTCTACTAGTTTGCCTCCTATTCCAATAAGAAATGCTTAACTTTGACTTTAATTATAACAGATCTACATCTTAAAGACTTACTAAAAATCTACATCAGGCTAACATAAAACGAAGAATCCCATTGAAATTTGGAGCTTCTTAAATAATAATGTGGGTGACACAACCTTATTCATTGTATATGCACATATACTTTTTTTATTCTTAACTAGCGACCCGCCACCGCTTCGCACGGGTCCAACTATCTCGCTATCAAAGGGTCACTTTTTCCTAATCTTCCCCTCTACTTTTCTAATATATTGTTTGATAAGAACCTTCTTCTGACAATAACAAACACAACAAAAAAAGAATTAGCAAAATTGGTCCAGGTGTTGTTGAGTTATGCGCTTACCAACACATTTTGCGATCCATTTTTATATATAAAGATTTAATTTATTAAAAATGGCGGCTTGTTTACGTGATTAGCTGGCAAAAGTTCGACAATTTTTATTCACAACGGGACTTAACCACGAGCAGCCGACAAGTCGGTTAATAATGTATGTCTCATGATAGTTACTATAGAAAATTAATCATTCACTTTAAATTCCTCAAAATATTGATAGAAACCATGATTATCAATCAAATCACATCACATCATCAACATATAAGTGCCTATTGACTGTGCAAGGCCCTCTTCTTACACGGAGAAGATGCTTTTGCCTTTCCTTATTCAATGCGGATTTGCAATTTAAAGCTCATCAACAGTTTCAAGTTTCCTCACGATATTCTTTATTATTTTAAGTACCTCCTTTTCTACCTGTAATCAAAACTCTAAAACTACATCAATAAAGTATTTTGAACCGTATTCGTTCCAATTAAAAACTACAATTGACTGATGACTATTTTTTATTAAATAGCTACCAAATCAAAATGTTATTGATGCTTTATCGCAATTGTGTTGCAGCATGGAATATTAAGTATTATGCTTCTTGATACCTATACCTCATGAAAAATGTATTGCTCTTGTGACTATAAAGTCGAAAATCAAATGAATAAAAATACAGATTGTCGAAGGGTTGTCCAGCAACGGTGTATAATTATTTATGAATAGGCGAAAACCAATTTCTAGTCTTATTAACTATCACTAGTTCAATACGTACCTATGCAAAGCGTGTAATATAACCACTTAAATTCCTGTTCATCCAGTAAATGTTTCTGCCATGAATCTCCCAGTTGCTTATTAGAGCTAATCAGCCGCCGTCTCTAGGGTTACTGACACGAATCATTCACATCATAACTATGTAGAACTTTGTAAACACTGTTTACTATAGAATACGCCATTAGATATTGATCTACGAAAATGACCCTTATGGGTTCAAAATCAATGTGTCAGAGGCAAAATTTTTATTTGTAACAAAATAATAAATAGGAAAACTTTGCTTCATAGTGTACTTACCGACAACTATATTATAATCTATACAAAATATTTTTTATTGCACTATTTAGTTAATGAGTTTTATTATATCTACATATAAACCTTCCTCTTCAATCACTCCTAATAAAAAAACCGCATCAAAATCCATTACGTAATTTTAAAGATTTAAGCATACCTACATAGGGATATAGGGACAGAGAAAGCGACTTTGTTTTCTACTATGTAGTTGTTCAATATAGTTTGGCGAACTAAATGTAACAGACATACATAGTTGCAAGCAAGAACAAATGCGACACAAAACAAAATCAATACTCGGATCTAAAATAAACTGATCGATAAACTGCACAGTGATTTGACACACTCATTCGATCTCATGATAAAATATTAACGTTAGACCTCCTTACAAAGGCTTGCAGTAATTACAGCTATCTAGACTACAAAGCGGCAAATCATTTGATTAAATTTTCATAGAGGAAAACTCGGTCGACTAACAAAACAAAAATAGCCGATAATACGTAGAAATCGATATCAGAGTAACAGTCGACATAATCCGCTTACACATAACTACGTACCTACTTAGAATTGCTTTTGGAACATTAATATTTTATAACAAAGGAATTATTTATATTTAAGTCTTCATATATAAGAGAGGATAGAAGAGGGATTTATACTATGTATATGTATCGATAAATTATGTATTGTATATAATAGATGTTTGATGTCGGCTTTTGGGAAAATGTTTTGTAGGTTTATTTATTTTAATGATTAAAACGAATAGGTAATATGAATATGTACCTTAGCTTTTATGATCCCGCCCGCGACAGTGCCTACGTGGCACAAAGGTTTGGCACAGAATAGTAGTTAGTTTTAGGGCTGATTTTTCAATAGTCAGATAAATGTTATCTGTGGAATAAAATTGTTCTGTCACTGTCTTATACAAGGTTTGCCCACTAGGAAGTTATACTTCCTTGTGCAAAATTCTCATTGGAAAACCGCAACACAACTGCTCGGTGGATCCAAACTTAGCTAGAGCTTATTCCGTATTTTAATTTACTTTAATAATTAATAGGTAATCACCAAGTTAAGGATACTATTAGCGGATATCCGGACGTTAGGCCGATTAATACTTGTATAACAAAAATCAATCTACTTATTTTCCTCACGTAATTATTATTTAAGTGCCTTAAGTAGCTGTCGCTGAGAGGTTTGCATCTGGCCCTTATTCTGTTCTGCTTACACCTTCAGGCAAAATAACAATAAATCCCACATTTGCTACTTGATAAATAAACTTAGTTTCATTCCATCAACCCAACCATAACATATTATACATTTTTTTATAATTGACTCTTTTACTGCCATATCATTACTGCGTAATTCTTATAGCAAATACAACGCATTGTTCGAAAATTCAAATCCTCATTCGTCAATGTGACATAGTTACCTACGTCTCGCATCGCTTTTTAGGCTAAGAACTCACGGAGCGATTTTCGCCCGTGTCCGCTGCGGTTGCGGGCCCGCAGCTTCTGTAGGATTCAAATATTTATATAAAAAATTAAAGCACATTTCACGACGCGTTTTACGCCCGCGGTGTACGCGGTTGTATGCGGCTCCCGCTGTACCGGCGGGCAACTAGTAGAATCGCGCGGGCCGCGGTTACCCGCAGCCTCGGCGGGTGGCACCCGCGCGCTTTGCGATCGGTTGGCGAGCGACCGCGGGAGCCGGCGGGTCTTCTGTGAAGTAAATATAAGGCAACGGCTCGTTTCTGGTGTGTGTCCATGGCGGTCTGGACCTCAACTGATCGTTAACCGCCCGTCTTGCAATCTTGCCGCCGCGGTTGCGATCATCGCCCGCAAACGTGGCGGGCGATGATCGCAACCGCGGCGGCTGTGTAACCGCGCAAATAACCGGTCTCGTGAGTTTGGAAATAAAACCGCAGTTCCACTACCGCGGCGGGCACGGTTCAAAATCGCTCCGTGAGTTCTTAGCCTTAATTAGTTCCCAAAAACTTTTCTAAGAATAGATGTCGCTAAAGTACCTACCTAGTGCTTGGGTTGAGGATTTCAAGAAAAGTTTTGTAGATACGTTTCAAAATGACTCGAAAACAATGTTAGGAGCTGAATGTTTTCAGTTGTTCTTCAAAGGACTTTGTCTGAATTTTGTGCCTACTGTATAGATATAGCTTTGTTTTAATTTTAAGGAGCT